ATATTAATTTATTAAAATTCAATATTAATTATTATTATTATTATTAAATATTAAATATTAATTATTTATTATTATTAAATATTTATAATTATTATTATAATAATTCAATATTAATTATTACTATTATTAAATATTAACTATTTATTATTATTAAATATTATTTATTATTATAATAATAATTCAATATATCAAATATTAATTATTTGATATTATTATTAAATATTAATTATTTATTATTATTATTATTAAATATTAATTATTATTATTCTAATAATTAATTCAATATTAAGTGTTATTTTTAAGCAGAACAGAGCAGATTGAAGCAGAGCAAAGCAGAGAAAATATCAGCAGAGCAAATATTAGCAGAGCAAAGCATCTCTAAAGTACGGGGCCTAAGTAAATCACTAGTGTGTAGTCCGAGCGCTGCATCGGTTGCTACTTTAATTAGACCTTATCAATTAAATACATTTATTTTCATGTTTATAACATAGTTTATGATTGACTTAGATAGTTAAGTAACTATTTTTCTTATAAAAGGTTGGGTGTGTCTTTTCATAAATAGTATGATTGATTGTTGTTGTTTTAGAAGCTCTACTAATATTTTTTCAACCCGTCTTGTGTGTATGTGGCTAGTCCCACCGCGTGACTACTTATAAAAAATAAAGTAACTCTTATAATACCAACCAAGTAACTCTGTAACACTGATCGAGTAACTCCTATTGTAACACCCCAATAATTCTCTCTTAAAAACCTGTGATTAACCTGAACAATTCCAAGAGAATTATTGGCGTGCTACCGCCATGTGTTCAAACGTTAAGGCTTTTTCAGAAAATAGCAGCGGAAAAACTAAAACAAATATATATAAGTTTCAAAACCAATAACCAAAACCAAATTAAATCTTACAACTTGGAACCCTTAAGGCCCTTATTCAAAACTGAAACTAATAGAATTAGTATGAAAGTAAAGTTGAGTTTGAATAACTTTAAATGTAAATAGCAATAAAATAAGAAAAGTAACCAACACTCCACTCAAGATCCCACCATCTAGAATTAGATGTTGCATGTGTAAGAACCTGTGGTTAATCTGCTCCCCAATATTACAAGTGTAAAAATTGGATCGTCACAGGGTCATTGAAAGGCAAAGACCATGACCAAAGAAAGACACACAAAGCACGCAATCAGCAAAGCTGAGTACATACAAGCTGCAAAACATAAAAGAAATCCCTAACACACTACTATTAGTCAATCATCACACATCATTAGTTTATAGACTCGACACGTGACTCAACTATCAAATTTATTAAGACTTCACTAGTTAATATTAACTAACTCATTTATTTATTTCATTGAATTTAGCAATAGACAAGGTTGTCCAACCCATGTCCCATTTGGAACATCAATAAAAGAAAAACCCCATGCCTCCTTTCGGAAACATCAATAAACATCCAACGACCACGGGCGCGACTCCGTGACCGTAGTTAGTATGAGATCTCACCTAACTCCTAGTTTTTTAAAAAATATTTGAAATAGGAGACTCGTAGATCAGACGGCCTCGATAAAAGTACACGGTTAATACCCCGTGTACCCCAACCCCTGATTGTCATTACTTCAGAAGTGCACCAATCCAGAGTTTTATTGCTCATCCATATTGCACTCTACGTGATTTACAGGTTTAGACTTGGTGATGACTCATATGCAAACAATACAATCAAACCAATATCAATTCAATCAAGTAAAACAACTTTCCAATTTCAATTCTTGATTTATTAGTGACAAACAACATTTATTATTTATTCCTTTAACTACCTCGGTGTATAAACACCTTGAGTGCATAAGGCACCCCAAAAACCTTAACCTCGTCTTATAAGACTTGAATTCTTCCTTTACTCATCATGTTTGCATAATCATGAATGAGTAATAAATTAATCTTTACACCAATCACATACCTTTGCCTCTAAGCGTACCTTCCATAATTAGAGCACAAATAATACTTGCAATATAAAATAGTGTACATAATATGAAATTCACAATGTATAACCAAACAATTTAACCCAGTCATCCCTATACATGATACTAAGTTCTCGATCCGTCCTTAAACATGCACCTAAAAGAAAGGTTTCGTAACTTGTACGTACCTTGAGCAAACGAATTGGTATACCACTTTACCAGTGGCGGAGCTACATGTGTGCACGCTGAGTCACGTGACTCAGCAGTGCCAAAAGAAAATTAAGTTTAATTTTAAAAAAATATAAAAAAGAGGAAAAACGCGTGATTCAGTGAAGTGCGAACAACCCTAAGTCCCTAACTCCCTCTCTCACAACCCACAACCCTAACTCCTTCTCTCACAATCTCACATCAACCAGCCAACCGCCGACGCCGGAGTGCCGGACCAGCCACCAGCCCACCGTTTCGTTCGTCCGTTCGCACGTACGCATCAGGCCACCGCTTCACTCAATCACTCCTTCAAGGCGACAAGGCTTTGTTTTGCTGTCTGCAAGCCTGCCGCCACGGCCACTGCCTTCGGAACTACGGAGACCACCAACTAATTGATCGGAGCGACCACCGACAGTTCAGAGCAAGGCATTATTGTATAAATTGATAAAGATTTCAACACTGATAAAATAATAAAGTAGTTTATACGGAGTATAATTAAGTTTATCCTACTTTTTTAATTTCCAAATTTTGTCACCCCTTTTGTTTGGAGATTATTATTCTTAATACAATAAGAAAGGTAAGAGCTTTCTCTTAGTTTGCAATGCTTCCATTTTATGCCGTTCGATTCTCAATTGTTTTTTCTTGTTTTTATATTGAACGTTTATTTGATTATTATGGGTTTATGTTGTGTTCTTGATTCTGGGTTTTTTTTCTTCTGAAATTATTGTTTTATTAATTAATTAATCATGCGTTTGAGCTACTAATTGTGAAATTTAAGATTTTATTTGGTAATTTAATTTTTAAGTAGTTGTAATTTAAATTGCTACTTCAGCTTTATTCAAATGCTTCTGTCAAATTGCAGTTGCTGGATTTTTATTCATCTATTTTATATTTCAAGGTACAATGATAAAAGCAAATTTCTCTGTTTTAATTCATATTTACCTTTTTGATAAAAGTCCCCATTGTAGTAGAATTATCAATTTTGAACAATTTGTTAATTGTCAGAATGTTTGGTGTATTTTTGTAACCCCAATAGTGCAAGGTCTTATTTTTGTGTTAGTTTGTAGACTTGGAAAATGTAATAGAATTTATGGCAATTGGCATTCGTAAAGTAGTTGTATATAGCATGACAAAGTAATGGGATTTGTTTTTTTTTTTTTTTTTTTTTTTTTTTTTTTTTTTTTTTTTAACAAGAACAAAAGAGCTTATATTACAACTAGATTAAGAGTAATGAGGTTTGTTAGTTAGGCTAACTTATCAATTTTATAAAATTAAACAAGCTTTACTATTGCTATGTTATGAGCTTTAGATTGTGGAACTTATATAATAGGAGTCATATGACGGTATTTTTGGTGGTAAAGCATATTGTTGGTATTTACACAACCGAGTGCCTTTGATTCCGTGGAAGCCTTTTGACGCGATGTAAACCTTCGAGTTCAGGGTGACTCACAAGCTCGGAAATCTTGGATCCGCCACTGCACTTTACTAACTAGAAATCACCTTCAATAAACTCCTCTCCTAAACCAAATAATAACATCTCTAATAATCTCCCTTTTTAATGGGTGATTAAATCCTCTTTATAAAACATTAAAAGTAGTACTTAGAAACTAATTCTAGCACTTAAAACTTCAATAAAACATATATTTATGCTTAATTAACTTTAAACATAATTAATTTTATTAATCAAACTCAAGGATAATATTTTAAGTATAAATAAACTTCGTTAAAATCAAAAACTGTCCGAAAATCATATTTAGAGGCTGAATTTGGCCACGAGAGGGTGGTGCATACTACCAAAGGTAATGAATCTTTCTTAAAACGTTGTTTCCACATGAAAACCACTACTTTTTCACCAAAATCGGATGAGTTCGGAACCTGATCGGGATTAAAACGGGATTAATATTAACGAACGGAAATCTAAAAATTAAAACCCGAATTTAAGTGTTCAAAATAATCTGGAATTAAGTTAAACTAATCATTAGTTATAATCACCAAAATTTCAAAACATCATTACTATAAAAACTCTAAATCAATTGTTCATAAAAACCCTAAAATCATGATTTTCAATAATTAAAAACCCTAGGTTATAAAATTTACAAAATCTAAAAATTATGACACTTATAAAATCTGAAATTATAAAGTTTAATCATCAAAATACAATTTGATACTAATTAAATTAATTTCAAACAATAAAATCAAAACCCATAAATCAATAATTATTATTACACAAATTAATAAAACTAAGGAGAAAGAAAATAAGACTAACCTTTTTGTGTGGGAATTTTTTTGGGGATTCATGGGGTATTTATAGGAGAGAATTGTAGGGTAAATAGGAAGATTGAGCCTCATAAAAATAATGGGTCGATTAAGTAAACAAATGGGTTAGGCTTGTGTGATTGGACATAAATTGTATAATAAATGTGCATAAAATAATTTGTCAAATAATTTTCAACCCAGATTAATAATTTGAAACTTTTGAAATTAAATTATGAAAAATAACAAATAAATATTATAAATAAAATAAATTTTCATTTATAAAATATTTAAAAATACGGGGGATTACACCTATAATATTGGTGAAGTAACCCCTTTAACACTGAGCAATTAACCCCTATCACACTAACGAAAGGCCTATTCACTTCAACTTAATTTCAGTTCAGTTCTATTCAGTTAAGCTCCGAATTTCCTTCTCTCATAAAATATTCATTTTAGCTTTAATTAATTTAGTTCAGCTTCAATCAGTTCCATTAGTTAGCTCAGTTAAGTAAATGTGAACAAGCATGAAATAATGACCGCACCGTGTGGCCAGCCACATATAACACTTTATGTTTTTTTGTTTTTTTTTAAAAATTTTTAATTATTAAAATCTAGTCATTTTCTTGAACCGTTAAACCCTACCACCCAAACCCCTACTACAATCGGAAAGATAACACTGCTCAACTCTATCACCACCTATTCCTGCTACTCAACCTTCAATTCATTTCATCAATGGCGTCCTTCATCGCAGTTCGTCCTCCTCTTCCATTCTATCTCTCCTCTCTCCTCAAAGTACGTTCCCATTTCAACCCATCTTCTCTTCCACCCTTAAACCCTTTCCCCAAAACCCTAACCTCCCCTCTTCTCTCTCGCTCTCTTTCCACCTTCGCCGCCCCCAACGACTACCCTCGTCACCCTCAACCCGACAACCACAATCAAGGCTGGTACCCTCCACCTCACGCCGCCGGAAGTGCTCCTCCTCCGCCGATAAACCCTAATTACACCCCCAATTATCGCCAGCAACAACCGCCGCCGCCGCAGCAGCAGCAGCAGCAGCAGCAGCAACAGGGTCAGTGGAATCAGCAAAATCAAGGATACCCAGTTCATAGAAACCCTAATCATGGATACCCACAAGGTCAATTTCCCGATCAAAGATATGTTCGTCAACAACAGCCGTCGCAAGCGCCTCCGAGGAACCCTAATCAGTGGAACAATCAAGGCCCGAATCAGGGCCCGGTACAGGTACAGAGTGGCCCGGTTGAGGCTCTGAATGTGGACTTGAGGAGTATGGCTATGGAGGGGAAGGTGAAGGAGATAATTGAGTTGATGGTGAAAGGAGCAAAGGCTGATGGGGAGTGTTTTTATGTGTTGTTTGATAAATGTGGGAACCCTAAATTGCTGGAGAATGCGAAGAAAGTGCATGATTTCTTTCTTAGGTCTACGTTTAGGGGTGATCTTAGATTGATCAATAAAGTGATTGAAATGTATGCGAAATGTGGGAGTATGGTGGATGCACGCCGGGTGTTCGATCATATGCCTGAACGAAGTATTGATTCTTGGCATTTGATGATTAGAGGGTATGCTAGTAACTCGTTTGGAGATGAGGGGTTGCAGTTGTTTGAGAAGATGAAGGAGCTGGGATTGAGGCCGAATAGCGAGACGTTTATGGCTGTTTTGTTTGCGTGTGCCGGGGCGGAGGCTGTGGAAGAAGGGTTTATCTATTTGGAGAAGATGAGAACAGAGTATGGTATTGAACCGCAGTTGGAGCATTATTTGTTGGTTTTGGATGTGCTGGGAGCTTCCGGGCATCTTATTGAAGCTCGGGAGTATATCGAAAAGTTGCCAATGCAGCCGAATGTGGCTGCTTGGGAGTCATTAAGGGATTATGCTAGGTATCATGGTGATTTGGATCTTGAGGACCATATAAATGAGTTGATAGTTGATCTTGATCCGTCGAAGGCTGTTGCTGACAAACTCCCTACTCCACCTCCGAAAAAGCGAATGGCAGAGAATCTTATGGAAGGAAGGAATAGACTTCCCGAGTTCAAGAATCCGTCTCTTTACAAAGACGATGAGAAATACAAGGCTGCTCTTAAGGAACAAGGTTATGTGCCAGACACTAGATATGTTCTTCATGACATTGATCAGGAAGCTAAGGAGCAGGCCTTGCTTTACCACAGTGAGAGATTAGCTATAGCTTATGGCTTGATCAGTACCCCGCCGAGGACACCCCTTAGGATCATTAAGAACCTTCGAATTTGTGGTGATTGTCACAATGCTATTAAGATCATGTCCAAGATTGTTGGGAGGGAGTTGATTGTTAGGGACAACAAGCGGTTCCATCATTTCAAGGATGGAAAGTGTTCATGTGGGGACTACTGGTGAAGGTTTATTTGCTTGAAACTTCCATATCACGAAGTTTTCTTAGTATGTGCAGTAACTTTGTATTGTGAATCTCTTATTGGAAATTAGCAAGTCTTAGCATCATACTTGGATTGAATTTGTGGAGTTAGGGGATGCACATTGACACTTAGTTACTAAGAAAAAACTAAGCACTACCGTTGTGCTACAGATAAGGATTTTACTGAACTTGGCAATAGGCAAGTTATCATATAATTCAGAGTTTGAGTATGCTGCTGATGCTGTTCTATAATCACTTTGCCTTTATGTCGTACTCTCTTCAATATGTTTTATCAATTGGTTTTTGGAAATATATCAGTATAATTGAACTTTCTGAAGATCTGTTAGCCTTTATTCTTTAAGCTATACTTCGTATAATATATATACATTAGTCTTTCTTTGTGCTAACGCTTGTTCTCTTTCCTTTCTCTGATAAGGCTACTTCTTGTCACATGGTTTACACTGAAATATTTTCTCCTGACTCATGTTCACATAAGTAGCTTAACGATGAAGTCAATAGTTGCTCAATTAGTTTTTTTTAGTCTGTTGGCAAGTTGATGGTTTAGACTTGCAGTTGTTAATGTTTTCTTTTTACGATATCCTGTTATGTGCGTAGTGTTTTCTTTACTTGTCTAATTCACACGGGAAAAGACATTTTCACAACACGTTTAGTCATTTCTAGCTACAATTTTGTGTGTGCTGCACTTGGAGAGGGGTGGGTTTGGGGGGGGGGGATTGATGACAACTTGGTCAGTTTTAGCTTGTTTTTGTTTGACATTTATTCAACTATTTTACCGTTAAATGACAAATAAACGGTTTGTTCGCTGATTCTATCAATGCATATTGAGTTGTTGGTGGAAAATTGCTTGAATTAGGTGTTAAATTAGCTATTCTGTAGACTAAATACTTACATTTGCTTGTACTTATCATATTTTAAGTTAAATGATGGAAACTCTCCTTTAATAGAAATCTTGGTTGCACTCCAATGCAGTAGGATGGAGAATTAAGTACTGTATAAAATCTAATACTTCGTATATACTTTTAAGTTCTCTTTTAATTTCATTTTCTTCTGATTGACTTTCTGGATATTATGAACTACATCAGTGCTATGTGCTTTGCTTATAGAATAGTTTATCTAGTATGGTTCCTTGCCAGCCACTTATGCTGACTTATAAAATTTGAATGAACAAGGGTTGATATGAACTTTGCTAGAAAAGTGGACCCTGTTACAGGGAGAGGGAGAAAAAAAAAGGGAGTTAATCTAATTGGAGTCTTATGAATCAGTGTTGCCAAGAAGGATGGAAGCATTAAAGGTGGCACATTACCTTGCCAACATTTGGTAATTCTTTCACAGTAAATGCAAGGTTAAAGAAACCTGTTTAAACTATGTCTTCCAAGTCTAGGATGAAAGATCCTGATTGTAGTTTTAGTTAACTTATGTGCAGCCTATTGTAAGTTCTATAAGTGTCGAACTTGAAAGCTAAATTATCAATGGTGATATTGCTTAGTAAGCAAATTGAAGGGACTTGAATAGGAAAATGAAGTACTTGAGAGTTGAGACCAAGTTTGATAATGTTGTAAACACCAAGATGATTGTATTTCAGTTAACACTTAACGCAAGCTCTAAAGCAAGTGTGATGGAGATGTTTCACCACAGTTGAGATGGGTTTCTCTAAGACTCTAACCCTTTTGTGCGGTCAATTCACAGGTATGATATTTAATAACTTCTCTAATGATCTTTGCATCTTGTGATTTGGATTTAAATTCACTTGTCAAACTACATTTTATTTTGTATCTTCATTTTGTTTCTAAACTTTTGAAAGAATTTTTTTTGTTGATTCTACTACTTGTTTAGCTAACATTTCCAGCTTCTTCGTTTGTTGTCTACATTCATATAATAGATATCAGATGGTTGATTGCATCATTATTTTCCTCATTTGAGATCTCTTTGGTTTTTTTTTTTTTTTTTTTTTTAATTTGTTTAAAATTTTGATAGTGTTAAGTTCTTTATATGCTGATGACAGCTGTCATTTTTTCTGAGGATTAAATTCATGGAGGTTTCTGTGAAGAGTGTAATGTGAGAAACAACTACAATTCTCACCTTCCCTGAGTAGAATCAACCTCTTAGGCTAACTTATCAGTGCATAAAGCGTTAAAGCTAGATTCCCTTGTGATCTTAACCTAGGTTCAGTGAAAATTCTCCACGTACAAAGTCAACTTGGTTCAGTGTCTGTAGGCAATATAGTGCCAATTAGGCAATTAACTCATAGAATCCTTTCACTAACATAAAATTACAATGGTTAGGACTTTTTTACACCATAATGTATAGCTTCCATCAGTAGTTAAAGTAAGTTATCCCGAGGACTTTGTATTGATTAGCGAATCACATTCATCAAAACAAAATCTAAAACACTGAGTTTCAAAAAATATCAAAGAACGTAGATGAAGATATTGAGTACATAAATACCTGCTATAGGCCTCAGTAGCATTAGGGCTGCAGGAGTGACTCCTTGTGTGACTATCAGCACTAACACCTCTTATTTTAAACTATTAGTGCTAATTATTGTATGATTCGTAGGTCTCATTCTTGGGGCCTTATGTATAAAGCTTAAGCAAAAGAGTATATAAAAGGAGTTTAGTGAACAGAATTTATCTGTGTTGGGCTTAGGACCCAAAGCTATGGAATTTGTGAAGCAAAGAGTTGGAATGTGGTCGGGTATTTGTGAGCCGGACTCTCATTCATTTGAATTTGCTATAAAGTAACAGGGCTTAATTGCAGCCTTTATGGGTTGTGTTTTTAATAATGAAGTTTAAGATAGTTACTTGTCTTGGTTCCTTTCAAAGAGAGTTCACACATATTTATTCCTACTGCGCCCTTATCCTATTGCCAGTGGTAATGTAGCATTTTTTAGATAATAAGTTAAGTGAATTTGCTATCTTATTGTCAGCCTGATGAGGTTTTAGTACATTGTCTTGCAGTTGAATATTTCTTATGTTGGTTTCTCATGTTGCATAAGCAATACAAATGGTTTTGATGTTTGATATCAATCCATGTTTTGAAGTAGCACTTGCGGTATGATTGGAAGCAGTAAGGGTCTGTTCTCTTACGTTGAAATTCAATTCAATTCAGTTCAGTTCAGCTCAGCTCCTAATTTCCTTCTCTTATAAAATATTCATTTCAGCTTAGTTCAGTTCAGTTCAGCTGAGTTCAGTCAATGAGAACAGGCCCTAACCTTTAGATCAAGTTGTACTGCTAAGCTTTTTTACAGTTCTCTCTACTGTCAAACTCTAGGAAGTCTATGTACGGTAATATTGACCATGTGAATATGTCGTTGCAGGTCTTTGCAGGAATGATGATGGTGAGAGGGAAGAGGTTATATCAAGTGAAATTTTCGAGTTACTACGCGATTCTTTTAGAGTTTATTTACCCATATTTAGGCTGTACAAGAGGATTCTGAAGTTTCTTTGCACGGTGTAAAGAGAATTTTCAAGCTACACTGTAGTCTAACCCCAATGCCTTTATTTGCGGGAGTTGTAAACTTGTAATGGCTGGGAGATATAAGATATGGAGTTGTGATGGCTGGGAGATAGCATGTTTTCCAAATTCACAAACTAGTTGCATGGTTTTCCAGTTTTGTAAAAATATATTCTGTTTATCAAGAAATAATTTCAGTATATTTTAGTAGTAAAAAAAAAAACATAAATAAGTTTAGTAAAAATAATTTCAATTCAGCAAAATAAGGTAAAGAGAACCAGATCATATTCATTAATTCAGCTATTCAAGTCATTGTCAAAAGATGATTGCTCAACACCCATATAGTACATGATGAAGATGAACTCCACTTCTATGGATTTTCATACCATTCTGAGAATGCAGGAAATCTAAACTCTGGCTCGACGAGTCGACCATGGCAATTCAGGTAAAAAAGCTTCAGTTCTATAGCTCCAAATGACTTTGCATTCAATTTTGATCCAGGTTCATTTTACGTTCTATGTTGGAGTTGCAAAATTTTATTCATCAACTCCAATTTAATTGCTTCATAAGAACCAACATAGTTCTTGTCCCACATGGACAAAATACAAAGTCCCTATTATATATCACCTGCCCTGTGATCACTATAACATGCCAACCCTTAATTAAAGTGGTCATCGCAAATTACACACTGACCAGTAATAAGTTCCACAGAACAATACAAGTTCTTTGCGAACTTTCTCTGAGATCCAACCCCCAAAACAATTCTAAGACCTGAGACACACCTCTCGATCATCAGAATTGCTATAAGGGAATGTTCCTTCAATTGCTACCCTTCTATATGGATCATAATACAGATAATTATGTATACAAATTTCAACTACCAAGGCTCTGAGAACCAATCTCCCAAAACTACCCCCACTAAGATAACTGAACTTCGAATCACTGAGAAAACATGTATTGAAGATTTGAAGTTTTTGCAAATTTCATAGAATGTGTATAACCTAGTCCTTAATTGTGCAACTAACAAACATCTCCAAATCTCCACTTGGCATCCAATGTATGATGTAACACATCCTAATTTTTACACGTGTAAAGATGCTTTATATGAAGACACTCAAATAGAGTTTAATCTGATCAGTGTTAAGGAAAAGAGCTCCCTATACAAGACCACCTAAAGTCATCAGTGTCCACTGCCAACAGGAATGGCATCATGGGACTGCAACCAAAATCACAAAACCTCGACCATCAATCATGCCAAAGGTGTAAACAGACCAGTCTTCAACATTAATATCTGTTCTTTTCAGCATTATGGGCTCAAGCTGGCAACTTAAGATTCGAATTGTTTTTCCAGCTGAAATAAAAGAAAATAGAAAATTTACTTATTTCATACACATTTGAAAGACAGCATCAACAGGAATTGATAAAATTCTTAGTTATTTACCTGATAAAGTAGTAATAAAAGAAATCTGCATAAAGGGCAGTCTGAACAAGGCCAGAGACGCAAGCTGGAAATTGAAGGGTAATCACATGTCAGACATTATTATTTTGGTGATAGCATTGTTTTGCTCTAGGAAAAACCCTTACCTATCCATCGAGTGAAATATGGTTCTGTGAAGTAGCGATAAATCCAGTTGAAAATGTAGAATGCCCTGTATGCCCTGTAAAAAAACCAAGAAATCTTGTTACATGGATGTTTTAAATGGACCTTTAAAAATCACAGGACCATGAGGTGACTTTGACCTAAACAAAGGAATGTGGTATGATAAAAGACATACTAATATAGTACTCATAAGTCATACCTATGAGATCACATAGAAATCAAATTCCAAATAGTCCCTATGAAAACAATCACTAAGCATAAAATGGAAACTAATTTGCACTTGAAAACAAGCAGGTACTAATTCTGATTAACTAAATGTTAAAACAATACTATGGCTATTCCTAGTTGTAGGCATATCTTAAAATTAACTAGTTGTGTTTTAGTTACTGCTACATTCTCAATCTAGTCTAGCACAACCAACTTTCTAGAGCAACGGCACCAGCAGAAGGTTCAGAAAGATAGGTTTCATATTACAGTTAAATATACATCTGAATCAGGAATGTTTTTCTTTATTAGCTTTGTCCCCTTCTTCAGCTTCTGGTTCAGCGATTCGTAGGATACAGGAGTTCAATCAGGCAAGAATGGCACAGCCATAGATCCTCAAGATATGTTTCAAGGTGGGATGTTCATGCCACTAAAGTTATAATAACAAGAAACAAGTGAGATGAATTTAGGACGTACCCAAGAAAGAAAACATATTGAGCTGCCAAGTTGTCAACGTTTCCACTTCTTTGTAGCAGGAAAAGCTGGGGAAGAATAGCAACAGCTTCCAAGTATATAGAAAATGCCCAGAAAACCTGAGAAAACATATATATAACAGTGAAGAGAGCTAAAAAAAGTGTAATTGAATGAGTCCACAGTCTGCACATGAGTCTAAGTTCTAGAATAACAAACAATACTTAGAAAAGAAACAAATAAAAATACAAAAGAATCCCCCCAAAAAATCAACTACTCCATAGTACAAAGTACTAATGAAGAAATGAATCAGGAATAAATGGAACCATGAACATTATCATTTCACAACTTAATTACAACTATGGCATATACTCTTATATTGCAGAGTATTGCCTCAGGAAACCAAAAGCAACATTACTACAAAAAAACTCAGAGATGCTTTCCTCATCAGATGCTGGAAAAGTTATGCTCTTTACTTTAAGCAAAATTGTAGCTTGAAAGTGAGGATTCAAGCTAATTGATTTGTTGGAGCAACTAGCAGAGTATACAAGACATTAACAAAGAGAATTGTGACATTGTCCCAGAACAGAAAATATGTTTGCAAAGCATTAGGGTAATAAGGCTGTGCAAAATTTGACTTATATGTCTTGATGTATATTATGTGAGCTTATCTTATATTCTTATTTGAACTTATTTCCAATGTATCAGAATTTACTTTCACCATAGTAGAAATTATTTTATTTTTAGTTTTATACTGCTGAGTAGTATTTGTGAGTGTGTTTGAACTTCTTTTCATTGTGGCATGTCTTAATTGGACTAAACTTATTTTGTATGAACTTATTTGAGCTTATTTTGTCTGAAATAAGTCAAGAATAAGTTTAACATAGCGGGACCTAGATCACCAAGCAGGCAAGCACTAGACTACAGTTGAAAAATCAATAATATAAACAAGCGAGAAGACACAGATAAATAAAAAATAGAAAGAAAAATCAAGATACATTGAGGAAGCACCAAAAACTACCAAATTTCTCATCTTCAGTGCTTTGGTAAAGGATCTTAACCACGGTTGGGGTGAAGGGATAAGAGAATTTAAGGGCCAACTATGCCTACATTATTTTGTGGGGACGCCATGTGCACAGTTCTTGCTCTTCTTTAGCTAGAACAAAGGGTCTACAAAGAGAAGAAATGTTATCATTGATTCAGGGTTAGGATGAGGAACATATTGCTTACTAAGTATTACTCCATAAAAAGTAGGGAAGAGACTTGTACATTGACATGTTCCAAATTTCCAATTTCATTGTTATTTCACAGCAGGCAGACATTAATAGAAATCCCCTTGGGATAATGGAGATAAGCAGATCAAAATGCTTAAAACATTCTTTAGTCATTACAAACTTGCACAGCAATTATACATCCATGTCATAAAAGTGCTGTAAAAGTCATGTGACCATTTTACCATGTAGCAGCTCAAAAAGCAACCGATATCATGAGGATGAGAAAATATGAGTTATAATGGAAGTGCATAATTTCCTCTACCAGCAAAGATTTTAAATTTTCATTGAACATAAATAACTATAAATCTCTTAATCCTCTTCCAGGGAAGAAGAAAGTGTGCACTGTGCAGCTCATAGCCTCATTGATGAAGCAATCCCTGTGAACAGTAATCTAATTCCGACAGATACAGGATTACAAAATCAGATTTCCATCTGAAAACAGCAAAAGTATAAGCATGGATATATAAACCAATAACCATCAGAAGATTTCTAACGAACTAACAGAAGAAACACAATAAGATTTCTTTCGAGGCTCTAACTGAAGGTTATGAACACAAATTTTTATCACAACAAACACAAATTTCTAAATGCAGATGCTAAAATACACAAACTCACAGCTCTTACGGTCTTACCTCTTGCACAGTGAACTTCTCATGAATTAGCAGCGCCAACACAAAGCTCCCAAGGACGAGAAGATAATAACGAAATGTGTCAAGCTCTTTGTCATATGAACGCTTGATGACAGGGTGCAACCTCATAAACCAAACAATAGCCAAGGAGCTAACAATGAACACAACCTTCATCATAGTGTTATAGACAGATATGAAATCTGTGAACAAATCAAGGTAGCGAGCCAAAAATACCAGCGCATACAGCTCTTGTGTCTTCAGTGAAATGCCTGGCAACAATGATCCCACATATACTTCAGAATTTCAGATAACACTCTATTGAACTCATCAAGCCTAAGCTATACAACACCAAATTATCAAGTTACTCTTAAACATACAAACTAACTGTGAAAGTTACAGCACCTAATTACAAATGCCGATACATTGGTACTCAAACCGCCATTCGTAAGTCTCATTGCACATTCGGCTTCAAAATCACATTCTCCCTTTCATTCGGACTCAAAGACATCGCGCTTAAACATCACATTAACCCTCATCCTCAAAGAAACGTCTCATTCTCCATATTAACAACTAATGCCACCCAATTGAAGCATAAATCAAGTGAAAGTGAAGTCCAATACGTAACTTTCATCATCCATCCAATAACAATCAAATCATTCAATAAAAAAATAATGCAATAACAAAATTCAATCATCTATTAACAGAAAGTTAGCGCAAAATTCCAATTCCAATTAATTATACACAATCAACGGAAAAGTCAAACAATAATTACAACACCTCAATTTCTTCAAACATTCTAGTCTTCAAAAATCACACGAAAATGACAAATTTCTTTCACTTTCAAGTATATATTTGTGTAATTCTTAGTCAAAATTCAGTCAATATAAAAAAAAATTGACGAAAACTTCCGAAATTCAACAACTCCATCATTTCAAATTCAAACAAACCCTAAATTCCAAAAATTAATCATTCTAAATACAGTAATTAAAACAAAAATTTATGAATGAATAAATTCAGTTAATGCTCAATAATATATCGAACCGTCAAAAAAAAATATAGCAGATAATGCACAATTGTATACTTCAAAATTCGAATAAATAGACAAAAATCAGACGAAAAAAAGTAGGAATAAAGTGTAGTATTAACGAAAATGAGAGGAAGAATGAAAACCTGAGCATGATTTAGTAGCATAAATTTTGAGAAGTAAGACAATAATACTGATTAAATGAGTCATATCACCAGCAAATCTGAATATATTCATGGTTGCTGATGCTCTGAATTTCTGGAAAACAGAGGAAAGAACAAGGAAGAAATAAAATGGAAAAAAAATGGAGATTGATTGTGTTGGGGAGAAAAATGAAAAATGGTGAAGGAGAAGGAGAAGAAAAGTGGTTGAAAATGGAAAAGAGGGAGAGAGAGAAATGACGTGGTGAATGAAGAAGGTTGGGTTTGTTTCCACGTATTTGGGTTTGTTTCGGTGTAGTTGGGTCGGGCTAAATAGCTATCGAGTAAATGACATTGGTACACAAACTTGAACTTTAATGAATTGTTTCACGTGGGCATATATCGCATATAGGTTTTGAATTTTTGATCAAGGGTTTAGCCGTTTAGGATTCGCGTAAGAATCTGTTCACTTCAATTTAATTATAGTTCAATTTAGTACAGTTCAACTCCAATCATTTCAGTTCAGCTCCTAATTTCCTTTTATCATACGGAGTAAAATATTCATTTCAATTCAATTCAGCTCAGTTCCAATCAATTCAGTTTAGTTTAGTTCGGCTCAATTTAGTAAATATGAACAGATCCTAAGTAAGGGAGCCTATGGTTGTACACTTGTACCATGTACGATACATGCTCATTTGTTGATTAAATGAGCAAATGACTCCTGTTGTACGATACATCCGAGTGTATATGACAAATTCTACGTAAGTAGGGACTTACAAAAGTTTATTCAAACGTGAACCAACATTAAAAAATGAAAAAACAATTAACTTTCATTCCTTTTTTTTCCCACCCGGTTCATCTTTTGGGTTAATTCAGATTTAGGACTCGGTTTTAAGTAGTGGTTAGGTTTCATCCCCCTCCTAATTATTGTTGTGGAAGATCAAATATGTGGTCCTCCCTACCGACTTAGCATGTGCATCTCTTATCACCACTACACCAATTGTCAATTGGTACCTTCATCTCAATACTATAACATCAATGATTATTGTTATAACAGGTTGTTTGGTTTGCACGGGATAAACAAAATGGAATAATAAACAAAGGGAAATGAAAAGAATGGAAAAAAAAGTCTATGCATTCGCTATGTTGTTTGTTTTGAAAAACAAAGAGAAACAAGCCACCCGTCATAACCACTTATTACTTCACTTCCCTCCTTTTCCAACCACCACCTAGCCAACTTACCACTCGCTACCCTTTCTCGCCCTTTGCCGCCCCTCCCCTCCTCCTTCAAGCTTTCCTCTCCCTCGGTAAACTTTCCCCAGCCTGCAAACCCCTAAAAACTACTCCTCCCTCCTTGTTAAATCGTCGGTCGTCCCTCCCTCCTCCCTTGAAACCTTGGTGCTTGCAAGAGAAAAGTCCAAACCTAGATCCCCCTTCGAAGAAATCTAAAAGATGGTCGGAAATAGGTTGTTGATGACCTCTAAAGTTTTTGATAGGAGGAATTCCGACGGCTTTGCCGCCGAATTAAAAAAAAATTAAACCCTAATAAATTAATCCCGCGTAATTTTTTTGCCACCGGTTTTTAAGAACAGGTGTCACTAACTCGGTGCCCATTTGTCTTTTTCTCCTAGTAAAAAATATGAAAGAAAGAGAATGGTTAACCAACTCATAGGAAGATGGAGTGTTTGTTGCGGAAGGGGGACAAAGCTTCAATGGTGGAAGAAGATTATGGATTTTAATAAGTTGATTTAATAATGGATGAGGAAGCTTTAATGGCAAAGTAAGATACTCATGAATGACATTAACGCCATTTAACAGCTGAATAGTACATTGTCAATTACAATTATACCTCCCTATTTTAGACATGAATGTAAACTTCACACGTTTATTAAGCTAAGGTTACAAACTTGTATTTTCTCAGCGGAATTGTAAGGGGAATAAGGAATAAAATGGGTTTATTCCCATGTTTTTATTACCTAAATAACCTTTTTTGTTTTGTGGGAAGTGGAACTACAAGGGGGATTGGGAAAAAAAAAAGGGTTTTATATACTCTTATGTTTTTATTACCTTTTGGGGGCAAGTAATAAAAGAAATGTAAATCGAAAATAAAGAGTAAAAAAAAAACATTTTACCTTTAATGAAAAGAAAAGGATATAAAATTAGTAAGGATAATATTGTAAATTTAATATTTATTCCTAATCAATTCTTATTACAGCCCAAATAAGGAATTGTTAATATTTTATTGAATTTCCAACAACAAATTCCTAATCCAATTTCTACCCTTTAATCCTCAAACTCACATCCCCACATATCAGACGTTTCGTGAGTACAATATTTATCCTAGAGGCGGTCAACTACTTTCAGCCCGCTCCGACTCGTAAATGAGAGGATTTGGACAAGTCTAAATACACACTTTTAATTAAAAACCCAAAGCCGACCCTAAAAGCCCGCCACTTTTGGGCAAGTTTGGATATGGTTTACGATGTTAAGGGCCACTCCGACCCGATTTTTTTTATCGCCACTAATTTTATGTAACACCCTAGAAATTCCTTTCTTTTAAAATACATATTTTGCCCTGTTTAAAACTTTAAATAGGAACATCTAAGATATTACCGCCACCGTGAAAACGGCTAAGGCAACTATCAAAGACACACAATGGAAGACTAATTTCAAAACCATTCAAAACAAGTCAACTTGAAAAGTCAACCAACGAAAGTAAAGTAAAAAACCAAAGTCAAACGAAGTAAAATAAAATCAACCTACAACTTGAAACCACTGTAGGCCCTTATTAAAACCAAACCAACTTCAAAACTTTGCGTTGGTCTCATGAATAATAATATCATAAATAATTAAAACATTAAACACATCATATACTTATGGAAACTAGCATGATTCGCTCTTCACTCATGCCCATTCATGAATATGCTTCATCACCTGAAAAACTTCTCTCTACTTGTTTCCACTACTCTCCATTAAAAATGGGTCATCATAGGGCCAAGATAAAAACAAGGCCAACAAACACACAATCAGCAAAGCTGAGTACATAAGCGTAATTAACACACTAACATGCATTTACCTATCAACACACAACTTACCTTGTTGCACCTGTTTTTAAAGCATACAACATTCAACAAAAATTCTCAACTAGACAACTACATAGTTTATTTAGCGTTGATTACGCATCAAACGGGTTTCCCACTAACCTCCCCCAATGAATTGAGGTTACTGACACGGGAGCTACCCGTGTCAGCATCAATAACCACTCGTAAGTGCCGGAATTCCTGCGCATAATAATAATAAAAGGAATATACAACGTCCTGTACTCCAGTAGAAGTTATGGTTAAATATAAAACCCCATAACTCCCCCCATACATTCATACTCAAGGTATATACATTCCAAGAGTTTTGGTGCGTAATCTCTTTCACTTTACATTATTTACATATTATTAAAATTGGTGATGACTCTCAAACCACAATCATTCAATCAACAATAGTTATTCAAACTATCAAATATACCAATTTAATTCTTGAATAATTAGTGACCACATAATATTTAATGTCGAACCCTTTTTAAATCTACCTCGGTGCCAATGACACCTTAAACGCATAAATCGCCACAAATCCTAACCCTCAGTGTTAAAAACACCTTAAGTGTACTAAGGACATGTTCACATTTACTTAATTTCAGTTCAATTCAACTTCAATTAGTTCAGTTCAGTTCAGCTCCAATCAGTTCAGTTCAGCTCCTAATTTCCCTCTCTCATAAAATATTTATTTTAGCTCAGTTCAGTTCAGTTCAGTTCAGTTTAGTTCAGTTCAGTTCAGTTCAGTAAATGTGAACAGACCCTAAGGTACCAACATACGATTTATTCCTCGTGTACATAGACACTTACATAACTCCTTTCCCATGCTTAAACTCTTAAAGCATCAATAAAAATTATATGAAACATAATAAAATTCCCTTTTAATATTCCAAGCCAAATTAAACATTTAATTTAATTAAACATGCTCTCTAACATGCCATAAATAAAAGTGTGGTTCATAAACAATATTCCAAACTATAATTTTCCATCCATTAATCCATCACAAATAAATCATGCTTCAGAATTCAATCACAACTAACAACCAAATCGTAATTTCCATTCCAAATTTAGCATGATACTACTTGTAATCAATTAAACACATTTAACATGCTACTACATCATTAAAATTATGCTAAGTACGCGAACATACCTTGTATACAATCTTAAAATAGCCACGACTAATAGAAATCACTTACTTCGAAGAGTCCTATAATTTAAAATCATAGAAGAGTATTAAAATCCTCTCTACACAAATTTCCAGCAATATATACCATTATAAAACCCCTCATAATTTAATTAAAATAAGCTGAAATTATATTTAAAACACCATACTTTAATCCCAATTAATGGGTAATTGAAATTCCTTAAAGAAACTTGATGTTAATGGACTACCAAAAATTCCAGCATTATAATTTAATGAAAACTTCTTGTAATTAGGCCTTAAGACACTTAAATCAAAGGTTTAAACCATTGTATATCATAATCCTTCAATAATTAATATTTTAAGAATCTAGGTTTTCAAAATTGGGGCTTTTCAATTGAAAATAAAAACTGAAAATTAATTTATATGATACTCATAATCAAACATCATAATCTAATCACAAAACTCATAATTAAGAATTAGATCTAGGATTAAACTAGTTTTTATAAACAAAAGATTTATTTATTTATTTTGTTTGAGAAGGCCGAGCAGCCGACAGCCACTGCCGGCTGATGCCAGCGCCGGTGGCTGCCTGCTGCTGGCGGCTGGTGCTGTCGGTGGTCGGCGGCCCACCGGTGGTGGTGGTGGCCAGCAGTGAGGGTGAGGGTCGAGAAGGGGAAGGAAAAAAAAAAGAAAAAGAAAAAGAAAAAGAAGGAGAAAGGGAGAAATGTTTACCTTAGGTTTTCTCCACTCCGGGCAAGTTTAATTTACC